GGTGATTGTCCCCCATATCATTCCAAAACCACAGATCTATAACACCCCTCCCTCCCTCCCAAGAACTGGATGATTAGAAATCAAGAGCTGGATTTTGCATTTTAGGCGTGTGTATCCTCTAAAGTCTAACAACCAGGCATCCTCCCTTCCCACCCAGCCACCATCTCAAACTGATGGAAGCTGGTAGAGTACATCATTACATCAAACTTGGGTATGCCTGGCTCCAGGCTGACTTCTTCCCGAAATGCTGATATTGTAGGATCAGCAATTTGGCAATGCTAGATGCTGTGAGGTCCCTCCTGGGAGCTGTGTGCTCTTTTTGGGCGAGACAATGTGGATGCTAGATTTCTTGGAATCGTAGAAATGAAGATGGCAGCTTTGGCTAGTTTGCAGGTCGGGTTTTTAAATTGTCTGAGCTCCAGAGGAACCTGACGTTCACCTTACCAGTTGTTTCTAATACTTAGCCATAAGCTTAAAATCAGGATGCAGATTTTACTCTGGCGCTGGGGTAGTTCAGCTTGTTAAGGTTATAACTAACTTTCCATTTGCAACCTGATTTTAACTCCTACTATTCTTCAAATTCCTCAAATCCTTTCTGGCTGAATGGTTTGATGTGTCCCAGGACGAGAGGAGAATTTTGAGTAGGGTCTGAGAGCAAATGGACAGGGCAAGTTTAAAGTTAACTAAAAGTCTGAAAAATAAGTAGTTTTTTACCCTTTAAAATTATTATTATTATTATTATTATTATTTATATTAGGGTAGCGTCTAGAGACCCTCATCAACATTAGGATCCCATTGTTCTAGACATTGTACATACACATAACAGCAGACAGTCCCTGCCCTGAAAAGCTTACAGTCTATGACAGCCAAAAAGGGAAACAGAGGCAGAGAGAGATGACTTGCCCACAGTCACACAGCACGTCAGCATTAGAGCTAGCAATAGACCCCGGTCCAGTGCCCTGTGCACTAGACTACACTGCTTTTAGCTTTCTTGGGAATGTCTGATCTCACAAAGAGCCATGTCTGGAAACTCCACGTCTGTTTTATTCATTTGTCCTCAATGAGGACCAGGGCCTTTGTATATTTTATGGAAGGTTGTTTTGCAGATATTGACTATGACTATTCAACTTCTGAGAAGTTTTCAGGATCCCTGGCAGATTTTAAGCCTCACAGGATTTATCACTTAGTCTTCACTGCGGCTGGATTCTCATCTTCCCCATCTGAACCACCACCCTAGCATCACCTGCCCATACACATGCCAAGTACTTCACCTGAAATCCAGTCCCTTCTCTGAGCAATGGAACCGCAGCCTAGAGAGGCGGGGGGATCTGCTCACAGGTGTCCAGGGGCGGTTGGATTTGTCCCTGTATCAGCAAGAGCACAGAGATCTCTACTAGTGTAACACTCCAGTTTAAGCATGTCGAGTTTGGGATTAAATATTTCCAACTGCCACTCCCTGATCGCACAATCAGGCAAATCCCCTAGATACATAAGAATATTTTGTATAGGAATTCCAGATGGGCTCTCTGCTCCCTTCGGCCCTGTGCCCACTGCTGCTGCTTTTCCAGCATCTTCCTCCTTTGCAGCTATTTTGGGCTTTCCTCTTCTGCTCCTGCTAGAACACTAGTAAGTGGTAACTGCTTCTTATTCTCTAGCCACCACCATATCCAGCTTTGGAAAACCAAGTGAAAACTGCCACCGGCCAGATATTTTCCCTTTAACCTGAATGTTCTTTTCACCAAAAGAAACATGAGCGTCCTGGACTCCTGAGGATGGACAACACATGAGTTGTTACAATTATTCTCATTATACTCCACGGGAATTCATGGGGAAGTTTCCTGCCCAGTTATCTCAAGTGCTGTATTTGATTAAGTTTGTTGGTAATGTTTGTGAGCTACAGCAGGTCAGCCATGATCAGAGGACACATCACATATCCTGTTCATGCAGCTGATCTGGGAAATCATTTAGATTTAGCTATAAGAGCCCTGAGATTAGATATAAAGATATATACATTGCACTCAGCTAGCTACTGGGTTGGGGAGATTAACGTTAGCTTGCTTGTGCAGTCCGTCATGTTTCCACATTGCCTCCTATGAACTGAACGCTGTCTGACAAGCTGTTGCCCTCTCTTCACTCAAGACCCTCTTAAGGGGCATTTCTTCCATGAGGCTCACAAGAAGGGATTTATCATTAAACAGTTAATTAATGTTTAAACTGTTCTCTTGCCCAGTGCATTCCATCTTGTAAGTGTCTGTTATCAGATGTCAAGATCTCTGGGACACAAACTGTCTGTTTTTGTGTATTGTACAGTGCAGTGCACATTGTCAGAGCCAAATTAATATAGCAAGAAATGATACACATCAGAATAGCCATATCCATTTCAGCCTGGAGTTTGGCATCCAGGAATGTTTACCTCAGTATTTATAATCTGCTGCCAATTGCCAAAACATCTCTTTTTGGCTCAGATATTGTAATGGCCCCCTTTTCCAAGAGAGACTAGTCTCATAACCTCTGCAGTGTCCAGTCTCTTCAAGCCAGGGGAAGGGAGGAAAGTTGTTCATGAACTGGCAAGCATTCCCTTTCTGGCATCTAAAAAATGCCTCCCATCCTGTCTCAGGATCACTAGCAGTGGCCTGTGTGAAGCGAATAGCTGCGTCTCAGTCTAGTTCCAGGAACACAGGCATCCACAAGTCTCCAGCACTACTGGTAGTGAAAGGAATGTGTGCCTTGACCGACTGGGCCAATGACTGAATGGGCCCCATGTGTTGATGATCTCTCTGATACATAGAAAGTGGTCCCTCCAGGACAGGCTTGAGGCCCAGCATGTGACAATGAGGGGTCAGAGCACACCACTTTTGCTGCCCACACTATACCTGTCCCACATGGAGAGGTACATAGGTACTCAGAGGCTACAGAGATGAGCACAGAATAAGGCCTTGATCCAAAGCCCATTGAAACCCAGTGGGAGTCTTTTCACTTCAAAGGCCTTTGGATTGGGCCCCAGGTTCGGCACCAGACCACTGGAGAAGTCAGACATTTTCTGGTGCTACCAACCTGCAATATTTCACCTGGAAAATTCTTTTTTTAAAAATAGACTTACAACTTGGCTCTAAATACCACAATTGATTGTTCTTTGGAAGGTCTTTAGAAGACTTGTTGAAGCTCAAACTGTGGCAAAATGAAAGTAAACTAGGGCTGGGGCTTTCAAAGGGGGCTATCTGAGTTAGATAACCAACACTCTTGACTTTCAATGGGAGTCAGGCACATAACTTAGACTGCATGTTCTTTGGGGCAAGGACCATCTCTTTTTCCTGTGATTGTGCAGCACCTAGCACAGTGGGGTCCTGGTCCATGACTGGGGCTCCTAGATGCTACTGTAATGCAAATAATAAATAACAACAGCTCGAGGTCCATTTGAAAATCCAAGCCTAGGGGCTGAAACGAAAGTGCTGAATACACTTTATCCACTGGATGCTTACAAATCCCGCGTAACCTGAAGAATTTCAGCACTTTAACCTCTACTTTTCAGAGATTCCAAGACTAGAAGGGACCATTGTGATCATCTTGTCCGCCCTCCTGCATAGCACACACCATAGAACTTCCCCAAAATAACTTCTAGAGCAGATCTTGTAAAAAAACATCCAAGCTGGATTTTAAAATTGCCAGTGATGGAGAATCCACCACAGCCTCGGTAAATTGTTCCAATGGTTAATTACCTCACTGTCAAAAATTTACACCTTATTTCCAGTCTGAATTTGTCTAGCTTCAACTTTGAGCCTTTGGGTCATGATATATCTTTCTCTGCTACTTTGAAGAGCCCATTATTAAATACTGGTTCCCTATTTAGATGCATATAGACTGTAACCCCTTAACCTTCTTTTTGTTAAGCTAAATTGATTGAGATCTTTGATCTATCACTCTAAGGCATGTTTTGATCATTCTCATGGCTTTTCTCTGAACCCTCTTCAATTTTATCAACATCCTTCTTGAAATGTGGGCACCAGAACAGGATAGAGGATTCCAGCAGCAGTCACACCAGTACCAAATACAGAGGTAAAATAACCTCCCTACTCCTATTCAAGATTCCCTTGTTTCTGCCTCCCAAGATTGCATTAGCTGTTTTGGCCACAATTTTACACTGGGAGATCGTGTTCAGATGATTATCCACCATAACACCCAAATCTTGTACAGAGTCACTGCTTCCTGGGATTCCCTATCCTGTAAGTATGGCCTATATGCTTTGTTCCTACACATATGTGTTTACATTTAGATGCATTAAAACACATTGTTTGCATGTACCCAGTTTTCCAAGTGATCCAGATTGCTCTGAATCAGTGACCTGTCCTTTTCATTATTTAGCATTCCCCCTATTTTTGTGTCATCTCCAAACTTTATCAGTGATCTAGTGTTTCCTTCCAGGTCACTGATAAAATGTTAACTAGTGTAGGGTCAAGAACCAATCCCTGGGACTCCACTGGAAACACACCCGCTCAATGATAATTCTCCCACTTACAATTATATTTTGAGACCTATCAGTTAGCCAGTTTTTAATCCATGTAATGTGTGCCATGTTAATTTTATATATTTTTTTAAGTTTTTAATCATAATGTCATACAGTACCAAGTCAAATCTTTGAATGAGTTAAATGTGTGTGTGTCGGGGGGAACTAAAGATGCTTTTTGGAAATAACTATAAAGTTTCTCTCTATGCTGGGGCTGTTTTTGCCACAGCTACCCTTCCACAGGCACATTGATATGTGTGAGGTGGCCAACTAGTTCTAAAACAAGTAGCTCAGAGATACCATCAGCCTACTGACTCCTTTTTTGTCTGCTTTAAAAGATGTGTCCACTGCCTTCATCCATATATGATATGAAGGTCTAATTGAATTGGAAGACCAGATAAACTATAACAAAACCAGTTTTGTCCGCAGACCTTCTACCCAGGAGGGAGTATTGTATAGTGTCTTATTGCGACAGTGTTACAGTGAAGATTGGTCATACCTTTCCATTGTTGAGTTCCCCGAAGGAAACAATTGTACAGAGGCTCATCTGGATCTGATGGCACACTTTACTATACTTAAAGTGATTTGCTTTGTCTGGCCTCTCCATGGAAATTTGTTCTCCTGGTAAACTTATTTCATGTTCTTTGATAGGAGAATCCTCCAATTCTAAAGCTTTCTCATTATCTGTTGCATGTTTTAAAAGAGTAACTGCAAAGAGGCCTTGAGTACAAGTCAGAGCACTCTCTGGGTCCCGAGTATCCAGTTTACTCTTAGAAAGATCTTGAGAATGTGATTGAGTCTTGTCCAGGTCCTGAATATCCACTGAAGTACTCCTAGTGTCCTGAGTATACTTTGGAGTGCTACTCAGTTCCTGAATACCCAGTTTAGTCTTAGCCCTGTCTTTCAAATGTAACTCAATATTTCCAAGTTCCCGAGCATCCGCTGCCGGAGAGCTGCCCGGGTCCTGAGCATCCGCCGCCGGAGAGCTGCCCGGGTCCCGAGCATCTAATTCAGTCACAGGCATGTCTGGAAACTGTGAAAGAGCCTTAGATGGGCCTTGTGTGCTTAACAGAGCATAATGGTCATCTGGAAGTTCTGGCAGTGGGGAGATGGATGGACCTGGCCCAAGGTCAGAAAGTTCATTAAAACTATCATTCTCATTGTCCAGAGCAGAGCTGCTGATCTCTTGAGATAACTCTGCTTCAACACTTTGCTGAGGCAGCACTTTTCCTGTTGAACTCTCAGAACTATGATTATCCCAAATCCCAGAATCTGGAGACCGCAATGACATTCCCGTTGAAGAGAAAGCTCTGGCATTTTCATTCTGAATAACCAAAGACTCTTTGTGGGAGGAGGCTTCCTGCCTCTGACTTCTGAAATTGGACTGAGGTCTTTGCTCTCCCTGTGAAAATGTCCGGGAAGAGCCTCGCCACTTCCTAGCTGCCTCAGCCACACTGTTAAAGAACCGAAGAACACCACCAAAGTGACTGGCTTTCATTTCACTGTTTGATTTTTTAGGATGGCTAAGATTCTCCTCACATCTCGTATCAAAGTCAAAATAAGAAGCAGAATTATCAGTTATATTTTCTAAGTTCTGGAAATTTGTTTCAACACTTTGATTGAGCAACTTTGAATTATCTTTGCTAGACAATGAAATTCCCTTCAGATAGCTCCAGACATCAGAGCTTTTTCCTCTCCTGCTCTCCTCAGGAAGCATGGGACACCTCTTTTGATTGTCCCTTTCTGTAATCGCAGAACTCTTAGAGTTTTCAAAATTCAAAAGCTTGCTCTTTCTAGCTGACATTTTATGGCAGTTACTATCATTATCTTCATTGTGTATTCTGACACTAATATCCCTGAGCCATTTATTTTCATTGGCATCAATTTCTGGAATGCTGACATTTAACTCTACGTCTTCAAAGGAAGAATCCAAATCATCGATGTACCCTGCATATGAATGACGGAAAGGCCTCTGACTGTCAGCTAGTTTCTTAATCCTGTAGACTGCCCTTTGGTCACTGTCCTCCTGGTCCTCCTCAGGGATGCGAGAAACTTTGGCTTTGGAGGGTCTCAAATCCACATTTTTAGACATGCTGGAGGTTCTTAGCTTTTTTAAGGACCTCACCCTCTCCATGAAGGACATCTTGCGTTTTTCTTCTAAGATCTCTGAGGTATCTCCTAGCAGGATCATGGACTGGGGTCTTTTGTTATTCATGGAGGGACCTTTCCTTCGGCTAACAAAATTCCAAATCCGGTTGCCCTTGGCTTTCTTCTTATACCTGGCTGCCTCTTCCCTTGCATTTTGGTTGATGCCTCTGGAGTTACAGTGCTGAAGGTCACAAATCTTTAGTGTCTCAGTGCTCCCATCCTCTGGATTGGCTTGAAAAATCTTGTTCATGTATCCATTTGGCACCAGCCCAGCATGACCGTGCTGGCAATCTTCTATAATTTCCATAGTTCCAGTTGGCAAGTTGATGTAGAATGTCACAGCTCCATTGTCTTCAGAGTATTTTCTTCATGGGGCTTAAGGAAACAGAATAAAAGAATGCAATTAGCAACACAAAGGGATTTTAAGGTTACATTTCTCAAAACACCAAGGGCCAAATCCTGGCCCTACTGACATCAGTGAAGGTTTCATCATTGACTTCCATAAAGCTGAGTTTCTGCCCCACGCATGTGTAAAATTTAAAGTTGCTTAAACATTGATTCAGTTGTGAGGAATTAGTGACTACAGATAAACTTCCACACATCAGTAAAAGGTACAAAAATACACACATTTTATGATAAAATCTCCTTTTGTCCAGTGGCTCAACATGGGTGCTGAACACACAAGAATTGGGGCGGGGGGGATTTCAGCAAAATCTCCTTATAAATGCAACTTACATCTTCACCAGACCAATCCATCATGAAGTAGCAACATATTTACCCTTGAGCAGTTCCAATCCTCTCCTGGCAGCCATTCCAAGAGGCTCCACAATGCTCCCTTCCCTGGAGCTCAGATAATTGATGGTGCGTCCATGCCAATTCTAAAGAGACAGTCTTTAGATCTCAACCCTGTAACTTTGTCAGCAGCCTGGGGACCCCAATGCAGGACAGGGAGTTCCAAACGGAAGCTCTGCAGTCACCACTGTGATGTATCATAATGCGTACAGGTTCCACTGCCGTGAGCTCCAACGTACAATATTTGTGGTCAGGAATAAAACCACAAGAGCAAGGTGCAGCGAGAGGTGCCAGCGGCTCAGCTTTCTTTGTGAGGATATATTTGAACTCCCAGTCATATGCACCGCTGAAAGCAGAGCCTAACCCTCCTCTGCCACAGGTGGGTCCTCTGCCCAGTACAGCCATGCGCGACAGAGCAGGATTCCTCTCTATGACATTGATCCTCCAGATCCTTGCCCAGGGCACAAGGCTGTTACACTTCAGTGCAGTTGCAAGCAGAGCCTGCATGTGGATATCAGTAAAGTTAAGCACTGAACAGAAGGAAGGCCTCTGAGCATTCTTATTCTCAACAGCACAGGGGAAAGATAGTGGCAGGATGTAGGAAAAGAAAGGGTGGGTCTGAGAAGACTTAATAATAAATAAATTCATGTGGCCTTCCTCCTGCTTCTAGGATGGAGGAATAGCGGACTGCACAGCAGCACTCTCAGTAACAAAGGATCGGGGCTCCCTCCCTATCCAGCTAATCACTTCTTAGTTTGCATTTCTATATGCAACCCCCACCCCGCACCTGCACTGTGCAGTTGGTAATTACATTAATTTTTATTAATAATCATGTTTATTACAGTAGTTCCTGAGGACCAACTAAGTTTGGCCCCATTGTGCTAGGTGCTGTACAAACATCAGGTATTAGACAAGTCCCTGACCCACAGGATTTACAATCTGAACTGACTTAATTTCCAGGGCCGGCTCCAGGCACCAGCCCACAAA